CTGTGGTAAATGTCGATGGCAACGTCCCATGCTTTTGGAGGAAATCTGGCATGTGCAGAAGCCAGTGCCACTTCTTCATGAGAGGCACTTGGAACTCCGCACAGTGGAAGCACTCCATGGCAGTCTCTGCAGCCTCCAAAAGCTTGGCCCGGGTAGTAGCTCCAAACATGGTGCCTTGGTGTACCATGTCGAGGAGGTTCGCCTGAGCCAGGAAGGCTTGGCACGCCTTTGGGCAGCTTCCAGCTGGCAACACGATGGTGTAGAGAAAATGCCGCAGCACTGGAAAGATTCCCAGCAAGTCCGAGGCTTGGCTGGAAAATTTCTGGCTGCTTTTGTACTTGGCGACGTGCTTGCTGCCAAATAAAGTGGCCAAATGGCCTGCTTTCCAGGCACCTGGAAAGCTCCAGAGTGGCAGATAGGTCTCCATGCTGGACCAAATATCGAAACCTTCCGTGGCAATGGCCTGCATGGTGTGATATAGCACCACGGGTGCTGTGCCCTGGAGAATTCCGTGCATCCAGTCATGGCAAAATTGGGACACTGGTCGCACCAGGCCTTTGGCCAAAAGGCCTGTGTTGAGCATAAGGGCATGGGGATTCCATGTCCAGCCTGTGGCCTGTTGCCATATGGCAAACTGGGCCTTGCTCATGCCTGCTTTTTGTCGCTGGTCCAGCCTTTGGTAGGATTGCAGGACTTCTTGGTCCGTGGTCAAGATGAGGTCCTGGTACTTCATGGTGCCATGGTCAAGAATGTCATCATCCTGGCCTGCAGTGGCTGGTCTTGCATGGACGTTGGCACAAAGGAGGCAGAATTTGCTGCCTCCATCTCCCTTGCTGGACCATATCTTCTTATGGGCAGCACCATCCGCCAAGCAAATGCCCCAGTGGAAATGGAGACGAACATTGTGGCCACTGGGTCCCTTCAGCAGGAACCCACCTTGTGGCTCGCTGTGGTCGCTGCAAAAAATGGCGGACAGGACTGTGGACATGATCTGGCAGATTCCTCCGTCGAGCTGGCTCACGAAGTTGGATCTTTCTAACGAGATGGTCAGCCAAACATCTTCGTGGCTTAAGAAGTGGCCTAGCTCGTGGAAGGTGGCATATATGGCCCAGAGTTTTCTTTCAGCTCGTCCCAACACGTTCCCAGGGATGATTTCATCTGAGTACACCATGAGGTTCCAAGGTTTCGTCATGGATGATGGATTGGATTGGTGTGTCCTGTAGAGCAACTCATGGAAGCTGCCACCCATGGAGAAAAGACTGCTGATGTACACCAGAAGGTTCGCAAAATGGATCCTCACTGGGGACCCATCCATGGTCGTCAATTCTGCTTCTTGGATCAAGGGTCCCATCGGGCCACCGTGGCAGCTGTCAAGAAGCTCTCGCCTGGCCTTTCGCTGGTCGTTAGATGAACTGGCTTCGGGCAGGCCATGGTCTTTCGTCGCCTGGACGAAAGCCGCCAATGCACTTTGTGAATGGCTTGGCAAGCTGGCCTTGAAGGGCAGAAGGTGTTGGAGTTTGCTTTTCTTCCTGGAGGGTTCCATGGCCACTGAGCGGTTATGGCAATTTGGTTCGACATCTACATCTGGCTAGCTGCAGAAACATATATGTATGATGGCATCAGACGTGTGCACCTTCATGAACCCGGGATGTCGGCATAAACATCCATGCAGGCTGCACGTTTGCTTCCTGATTCCAGAGCTATATATGCCTGTAATTAAGTCTGTTGTTCAATGGCTGGCAACGAGTCTGACATAAATTCACGTGGCCAGTGCATGGGACACATAGTTTTCTAGCTTCTGTTGCTTCTGCTCGGAGCAAAGACTCTTCGTTATCGATTCAGGGAGGAAAGCACGGGCATGTGATTGGCAGCAGGATATAGCAACAGATTGGATTATATAAAGAAACAGCCAGACACGGAGGGGCATGGATTGATATAGAAATCAATCCTGGCCACTAACAATAAAAAACGACAGATGCAAATGAACGTTTACATGCGGATGTAGAGATATACAAAAGATATATTAGGCATATAATTTATTTATGTTATTTATATTATTCTATTATTATTATTACTATTATTATTTTTCGTCTTATCTTTATATATATATATAGATATAT